ATATATATATATATATATATATACACACACACATACACACACACGCTATATTACTATCCTCAAGCGTCCCATACAGAAACTCCCAATCAGAATGCAAGCCATTAAAAGCACATCCCAATTCATTTAATCCATTCACCAACGGCATCCACTGCATGTCAATCAAATAAAAAGGGATTCAAAAGGTATAAGCCCACATTGCTAACAAACACAAGAATGAAAGATTTAGGGATCATGGTTCCTCTGCAATTCTGGATTTCTTGCTATGCCAATTCTAGCGTTCAGTGCGCAGCAGTCATAATGCACATTACCTGTGTAGATTAATGGGGCGGACATGCACAGAATTTAAAAATGTATTGAGTTATATAGCACATGTACAAAGGCATACAAATGGCTTGCGATTTTACATTAACTCTGGTTATGAAGATATTTCAGCTATGCAGGCCAAATATTTATTTCTTCTCAGCAGTATGTCAATTGACCCCCTGCCTGTAGACTTGTTAATAGTGTTTACAATGTAAAAGCAGCAGACATTGTCGACTGCTCACCTGTGATCGAAAGCACTAGAGGAGCTAATCCACCGGCAGGTGACATCACCTCCAGGTAAACTTCAGCTCGGCATATGTACCATTGTTGCAACAGTTCAGCAGTTTATAAAAGCACATGCTTGCAATCATAGATAATAGTACACTCTGCCACATACTTGGCTCTGAGAAGTGAAGGTGTTTTAACTCGCATTTCCTATAGGAAAAGACCAAACCCTTTCAACAGTTAACGCCTTATGTACACAAAGCAAAAAAAAAAAAAATAGACTGACAACAAGGGCTAAGCAAATACAAGGATCAGCTAGAGTAAACAGTATTACCTGTGGTACTGAGCCTGTAAAAACTGAAACTCCTCCTTAATCCGATCACACGATTCGGATATGGTGAATTTGAAGGGCTGAGCAGGCTGATGCGGAGCCTAAAACAATAAATATTAATTAAGAAATTAATCGTGCCCAGGCTGGGTCTTCTTTGCCAGGAAGGCGTGGACATGCCCTATAAAAAAAGAAGACGATTAGAATCCTGACACAAAGTCCAAGACTGGTAAAGAACCGTGTAATAAATGAATAAAAGGCCATCTGTACCACACAGGTGTTTCAGAACGGGCCCATTTTAGAAAGTCATTTCTCAACTTCGAGATCTAGCCAAACATGCTTGCAGCTAACAGGCTTCAGACAGGTGACTTTCCTATGGTAATGCGGGGTATTGCTAAAGCAGCGACCTTCGAGATGAGATTTTCTTATTCTACTAAATATTTTCAACTTTGTTGCACACTAAAAACAAAAACACTTTATTATGTACAAATAACACTTCTAACCTTGCATAAATATATACGATGCTATAAAAACAAATCCCTTAGCGATCATAGCAACGTTTATTACCTGAACAACCCTGAACCATATATCACAAACGTGCCAAAATTAGAGGATATATTTAGAACACCCACAAATACAGACGTCTGTACTTCTTTTTTTCCCCCACACAGACCAACTATTAAAGTGTCTTTGTGTTGGGCAATTTATGAGAGCGGAGATTCATGTGGCACCACTGCCTAGGGCTGCAGGATATAATGTCCCCATTAAGGATCAGTACTTTTATGTCAGATGTTAGAGGGGGGAAAAAGAAAAACCATGAGGGTGATCATGCTTCTCTTATTGCAGAGGCCTCTGAAGATTAGTTTTGTCTGAGTGCAGAAGGAAATGGCCACATCATGAGCATATTTCTTTTTACTAAGGTCATTTGCTGGAGAGAGATCAGATCACTTGGGCGGGGGTGATACGGGAAGTCAATCTCCTATCAGCCTAGTCTGTCTACACAATAGTGTATTAAAGGATCACTGTATGTTCCAATTACATGTGAGTTAATAGCCGGAAATGCTAGGAGACCCAACTTGTTAGAACACAGGCTACAAAGCCTTAAAAGGGGTTTTAATAATTATTAGTCTCTACAACCTCAATAAGTAATCAGACGGCACACTTAAGCTACTTAAAGAAGAAACGGACCTATAAATGTCTACTTTCCGTTTTGTTTTCCTGTGGCCACACATGGGAACCCCCACTAAAAAAAAAAAAGGAATATGCCTGTCACTTGTAAAAGCTTTAGCCACATCATTAGTTTGTCAGGCTAAAGATTAAAGCATGCAACCCCTGATCGATAGATTTTATGATGGAACATAAATGCCAAAGTGGATTTAATGTTTTTGCAATTAGCAAAACAAAAAAAACAAAAACACAAGCCAAGCTCCAGCATCAACTGTCCCATTTGCAACCATCAAATCTCATTCAGCGAAGACTGCTTTTTATTCCTCCCTCCCTGATTTTACATAACAATTGTCACATTGTAACCCAGAATACAAACATTTGACTCATTTGGAGGGAGAGAGAGGGGGAGAGGGAGACAATTGAAGGCTCCAGATGAGGGACATGGGAAGCTTAGCATTAGGGGAGGGGTCAGGAATGCACAGAGGACCACACGGCAATGAGAGAGAGAGAGAGTGGTAGATAGTAGGGTACAGAGGGAGAGAGAGAGAGAGTAGAGAGAGAGAGTCGAGTGGTAGGGTAGAGAGTCGAGTGGTAGGGTAGAGAGTCGAGTGGTAGGGTAGAGAGTCGAGTGGTAGGGTAGAGAGTCGAGTGGTAGGGTAGAGAGTCGAGTGGTAGGGTAGAGAGT